TGATGAGGATGATGGTGGTGATAATCATGATGATGAAGAGCATGACGAGCAGGAGGAGGAGGAGGAGGAGGAGGAGGCCGAGGAGGAGGAGAAAGACGATGATGGTGCTGGTGGTGAGGTGGAGGAGAGGAGGCCGCCGTTGATGACAAAGAGGACGAGGAGTAAGCGGAGATTGAGCAGTGGGAAGGGAAGAACAGGAAGCGAGAAGCGGGAAGATAACCGCGAGGGTGGAGGTGCAGGAGGAGGAAGGGGCCGCCCGCAGGAGAAGGCGGAGCCGGCGAACGCCTCGGGGCCCGTGCCCGCCTCCCAGGACCGTCGCCATTGTCGTCGTCGCCGTCGCAGTCGTCGTCGTCGTCGTCGTCGTCGTCGTCGTCGTCGTCGTCCTCGTCGTCGTCGTCGTCGTCGTCGTCGTCGCAGTCGTCGTCGCAGTCGTCGTTCGTCGTCGTCGTCGTCGTCGTTGTTGTTGTCGTTGTCGCAGTCGTCGGTCGTCAGTCGTCGTCGTTGTCGGTCGTCGGTCGTCGTCGTCGTCGGTCGTCGGTCGTCGTCGTCGTCGCCGTCGCTCTCGTCGTCGTCGCCGTCGTCGTCTTCGTCGTCGTCTGCTGCGAGCAGCGGAGGGCCTGCTTCACAAAACGGTGGCCGACATGGTGGGCGCTGGAGCGGAGCAGGCCTCGCAACCGTCGGCTGGGGGGACTGGCTCGGCAGCGGCACCGCGTCGGCGTCGCCGTGGCCGAGGCCGGCGTGGAGCCACGAGTGAGTCGTGGCGTGGGAGCGGCAGTGCCTCCTGCCCTGCCACCAGCGGCCGTGCAGTCTGGCGAGGGCACCCCGTCCAGGCCGCGGCGGCGTCGGGCGCGGGGCGGCCCTCGGGTCATGGAGGGGCTGGAGGAGAACGCAGCGGACACCGACAGGATCGAGGAGAGTTCTTCGTCGTGAGCGTCGGGCGGAGGGGCCGGCGACGTGCCTCCCAGGGAGGTTGCGCCTGCTCGTCGGGGTGCTGGCTGGCCGCCCGTGTTCGCGTGCGTGGGGTCGCTGGCCTTTTGGGGGGGGGGTCGCACGGGCGTCATCCGGACGATCGGCGGAAAGGTCTGCCAGGTGCACTTCCACGTGGACGCGGAGCAGGGGCTCATCCTCTTGGACCGCGCAGCGGTGTTTGCCGATGCGCCGCCAGGCCGCATTGCGAGCAGCGGAGGGCCGAGCATGATGGGCAAGGGCCCTGGCAATAGGGTCAACGCGGCCGTGGACGCGAAGGGGCGTAAGCGGCGCGCAGGCGCGCGGGAAGCCCCGCGTTCTCTCTCTCTCTCTCTCTTTCTCTCTCTTTCTGTCTGTTTTTTTCTCTCTTTCTCACCTTCTTCCTTTCCCTTTCCTTCCTCTTCCCTTTTCTCTCGCTCCCCGGACAGTGTCTGATCGGCGTAAAACAATACGACATTGCATTAAGCCTTCCTCCAATGTCCCTCTTCATGGGTCCCTACGCGGACTCACTTTCACTGAGGGAAGTACTTTGTTGGGGGGAACCCGTTTTGAAAACCCTGAGTTGTGCCAGAACGCCATTTCTGGAACTGCAAAGCCGCGAATCACTGTTCCTGCTGCGTCTTGGCGATCCTGAGTCGCGCCAGAACACCAGTCCTCGCATTTCAAGTCCGCGAATATGTGCAACTATTGCGCCCAAGTGACAGTCCGAGATTATGCCAAAACACAATCGATGGACGTTAACCATGAGAACCCTTGAGTCGCTCGCATTGTTTTAGGACGAATGCGCGCGGCACTAAGGCGAGAACCACATATTGAAGACCACCCGCCCTCCATTCGCGAAGCTCTTGCATTTTTTTCAGACGAAGCGCGCGGCGCAAAGGCGAGGGCCTCATTTTGAAAACCACCCGCCCTCCATCCGTGAAGCTCTCGGTTGTTGAACAATCGAATGTGCGCGGTGCTGGGACGGGAACCACATTTTGAAATCCCTCCGCACTCCATCTGTGAAGCTGTGGACTTCTATCGGAAAGGACAGCACGAATGTGCGCGGCGCTCATGCGGAAACCATATTTTGAACACGGCCCGCCCTCCAACCGTGAAGCCCTGGCACCTTTTCCGTGTGAGGACCGCAAACGGTAAGGAAGTTTCAGGCGAGACGCACGGTCCGCCCTGCTGGCACGCCTCGGGCTGCGACATGGAAGAGTTAGATCCCCGAGGAGGAGGAGGAGGAGGAGGAGGAGGAGGAGGAGGAGGAGGAGGAGGAGGAGGAGGAGGAGAGGATAAGGATAAGGAGGAACGGAGGAGGGGGGGGGGAATGGGGAGGTGGCACTGGGGGGCTGCAGGTCGGAAGCGGGGTGGTGCTTAGCGGGCCCTGGAAACGACAGGGCCGTTTTTTTTGTTACTGGTTCCGTTTTGCCGTTTTTGTTGCCGATTCCGACGCCGTTTTTTTCCGGTTCCGTCACCGTTTTTTTACCGGTTCCGGCTCCGATTCCAATCCTGGAGCCGTTCCGTTTTTTTGCCGTGTCCAGTCGCCGTTTTTTTGCCGTTTCCATTTTCAAGGGACATTCTTTTGGAAACGGTGAGAAAACGGCCCTGCCGTTTCCGGGGCCCACAAAGGGGTGGTGGGCATTTTGGAGCACGAGGAGGGGGAGGTAGAGGGATGAGGAGATCTGGTTCGAAACCTGGGTCGGCCGAGATCTCTCGCCACAGGTCGGAGTAATGAGAGCTAGACCGCCTGCTGCAATACTTCTTGCTACGTTGAGACGAATGTGCGGAACGAAGAAAAAACACGGAACAAGACATGCTACACTTAGGCTGCGACAGTTTTGTGAGAGCACAAGCGTACATAGAGAGTTGCAACCGTTTGCTACCTGACGCGTGGCGGCACGGCCCGTCACGAAAGACACGTGCAATGTGCGCATAGTTTGCAACGCACATGCAGTCACTCAGCGGGGTGCAATCAAGCGCGCGATGGCACGTCAAGATGTGACGCATTGATGCAACATCGACTTGTATTCAATACCGTTGGACGATAATGTGTTTATATCTGTTGACTCGTACTTAACCACATGTATAGCAGACTGACCAGCCACTGACACCTCGGCATACAAGTGCCCCAATGGATGGTGCAACAATGTGCAGTCACAATGCGTATAGTATAGCACCCGCGTGTTTCATATTGAAAACCGTGGTGTGGAACGCAAAGAAGCGGCATGTGCCTACCTGCCCTCAGGGCCTGGGCCAGACTAGCCTTGCTTGCGGGTCGGCTTCCCCCTGTCTGCGTGGCTGGCGGTTGGCCGCCATCGCGCGTACCCCGACGCCCACCAAGTGCACCTGTGCAAGTGAATTGTCTTCTCCCACAGTGACCAGGCTCGCGGTGCGCGGCCAGCTCCATCGCGGTGACCGCATCTGCTTCGTTGTTCGCTGGTCGCCGGGCCACGACGTCGCTCATCATTGGCATGTGCACCTCGCTTCGGGTGCCATCCGCCCACCCCTGCGCTCCCACTACCATCGGCCGCCAGGCTGATGGTCCTGTTTTCCACCACCACCATAAGTTGGAGGGGGAAGGAGGTTGAAGATGAGGAGGAGGAGGGCGAAGAGGAGGAGAAGGACGAAGAGGAGGAAGAGGACCCCCTCCCCCTCCTACTGATGGTGGTGGCGGTGTAAAGCAAGCCCACCACAGGCGGTGCCTTGGCGACCCTCTCTGTCGAAAAAACACGAGCTCAGCGAAACAATATCAGACGTATGTATGCTACCCAGTGGTTGTACACACCTGGGGTGGGATGGTAGGTTTAGGTGTGTTTTTGTTCCTCAGTGTGTGTGTGTGTACGTGTGTGTGTGTGTACCGCCTGAGCAGTAAGCTCTGCCCAGCCGCCGGCGCAAAAAGTGTGTGTGTGTGTTGTGTATGGTGTGTGTTGTGTGTTGTATGTGTGTGTGTGTGTCGTGTGTGTGTGTTGTGTGATGTGTTTGTGTGTTGTGTGTGTGTTGGGTGTTGTGTGTGTTGTGTGTGCATTGTGTGTCTTGTGAGTATGTTGCCTGTGTGTTGTCTGTGTGTGTTGTGTGCTGTGTGTGTTGTGTGTGTTGTGTGTTGTGCGTGATGTGCGTGTTTGTATGTTTGTCCATTGCGTGTTGTGTGTGTTGGGTGTGTTGTGTGTGTTGTGTGTGTGTTGTGTGTGTGTTTAGTGTGTTGTGTGTTGTTGTGTGAATTGTGTGTTGTATGTGTGTGCGTGCGTGCGTGTGTGAGTGTGTGTGTGTGTTGGTGCGTGCGTACGTTTGTGTGTTGTGCGTGAATGTGTGTATGCGTGCGTGCTTGCGTGTGCGTGTGTGTGTGTGTGCATTCGTGCGTGTGCGTGTGTGTGTGTGTGTGTGTGTGTGTGTGCGTGCGTGCGTGCGTGCGTGTGTGTGTGTGTGTGTGTGGGTGGGAACGTGGGTGGGTTTGTGCGTGCGTATGTGCGTATGTGCGAGCGTGCGTGCGTGCGTGCGTGAGTGGTGTGTGTGGGTGTGTGTGTGCAAGTGTGTGTGTGTGTGTGTGTGTGCAAGTGTGTGTGCGTGTGTGCGTGTGTGCGTGTGCGTGTGTGTGTGGGTGTGTGTGTGTGTGGGTGTGCGTGTGTGCGTGTGTGCGTGTGTGCGTGTGTGTGTGTGTGGGTGTGCGTGTGAGCGTGTGTGTGTGTGTGCGTGTATGTGTGGGTGTGCTTGTGCGTGCGTGTGTGTGTGTGTGGGTGTGTGGTGTGTGTGGGTGCGTGTGTGCGTGTGTGTGTATGTGTAAGGGCGTGTGTGGGCGTGTCTGTGTTCGTGTGTGCGTGTGTGGGTGTGTGCGCGTGTTCGCGTGTGCGCGTGTGCGCGTGCGCGTGTATGCGCGTGTGCGCGTGTGTGCGTGTGCGCGTGTGCTCGTGTGCGCGTGTGCGCGTGTGCGTGTGTGCGTGAGTCTGTGTGTGCGTGTGCGCGTGTTCGCGTCTGCGCGTTTGAAAATGTGCGCGTGTTCGTGTGTCTGTGAGTGTATGTGCGCGTGTGCGCGTGTGCGTGTGTGCGCGTGTGCGCGTGATCGTGGTTGCGCACGTGTGTGTGTGTGTGTGTGTGCGTGTGTGTGTGTGTGTGTGCTTGTGTGTCTGTGTGTGTGCGTGTTGCGTGTGTGTGTGTGTGTGTGCGTGCGTATGTACGAGCGTGCGTGCGTGTGAGTGTGTGCGCGAGTCTGCGCGTGTGTGTGCGCACACACGCGTGTGCGTGTGCGTGTGTGCGTGTGCGTGTGCGTGTGTGCGTGTGCGCGTGCGTGTGCGTGTGCGTGTGCGTGTGTGCGGGCGTGTGCGTGTGCGTGTGCGGGTGTGCGTGCGTGTGTATGTGCGCGTGTGTGTGCGCGTGTGGGTGCGTGCGCGTGCGCGTGTGTGTGTGTGCGTGTGTGTGCGTGTGTGTGTGTGTGTGTGTGTGTGTGCGTGTGTGTGTGTGCGTGTGTGTGTGTGTGTGTGCGTGTGTGCGCTCTGCCCGCCTGGGCCCGCCGCTCCCCCTGTTGGCGGTGCCCCTTCTCCCATGCCCTCGGTGCTGCTCCGCGCCCCTGGACCACCTTTCATCGCCTGGTCTCGGTGCTCCCCACCGCAGTCGATGTCGGGGTTTCCCCCCGTCGGGGCAGGTCGAGGTCCTGGCCGTTCGCTTCTTCCGTCCTCCCGCCGCCCTTTCCCGGCCGCTTCTGTCCGCTCTCCCTGGGCGGTGCCTCCCTGGCCGTCGCCCCCGCGACCGCGCCTCGCAGGCCCACTGTTCTCGGCGCCTTGCTTTCTCTCTGGGCCAGGCCTCGGTCCGCCGCGTTGGGCGCCGCCCCCTCAGGTGCCCTTCACTGCCCAGCTCTGGGCTCCACGCTCTCTGCTTCCGCCACCTTCCTTGTTGTGCTGCTCCGCACCCCCCTTCGTGCCCGCGGCGCAGCGCCTTCTGCTGAGGTTGGCCCGCTTGGCCCCTCTCCCTTGCAGCGCACCTCGCAGGCCCGCAGGTCTCGCTGCTCCAGCCTTCCCTGGGCTGTTCTCGGCCCTGGGGTGGGATCCGCTTCGTTTTCTCTTCACCGCCTGCTGCAGCTCCTGGCTGCTCCCCCAGCTTCAGCTCAACGCAGTTCTGTACAGCCTGTGCCGGTGCCGCCCCCCCCCCTCTGGCGCTGTCCCCTGCCGCCGCCGGCAGCTCTGAGTGGCCCGGTTTCCTCTTCCCCCCCTCGCGGCGGAACGATTCCTCTTCCTTCCGTGCATTGCGGCCTCAATTTGCATACAGCGTGCCCCCTGTTGCCACTCCGCCGGAGCAGTCGACCTCTGCCCAGCCGCCGGCGCAAAGTGTGTGTGTGTGAGCGTGTGTGTGTGTGTGTGTGTGTGTGCGTGCGAATACTTGCGTGTGCGCGTGTGTGTGTGTGTAAATGTGTGTGCGTGTGTGTGCGTGTGTGTGTGTGTGTGTGTGCGTGTGAGTGCTTGTGTGTGTGTGCGTTTGTGTGCATGTGTGTGCGTGCTTGTGCGTGTGAGTGCGTGGGCGCATGCGTGGGTGAATGCGTGGGCGCGTGCGCGGGCGCGTGCGAGGGCGCATGCGTGGGCGTGCGTGCGCGCGTGCTTGCGCATGCGTGCGCATGCGTGCGCGCGACTGCGCGCGCGCGTTCGCGCGCGTGCGCGCGCATGCGCGTGCTTGCGTGTGCGTGCGCGCGCGTGCGTGTGCGTGCGTGTGCGTGCGTGTGCGTGCGCGCACTCGAGCGTGCGACCGTTCGTGCGTGTGCGTGCGTGTGCGTGCGGCGTGCGCGTGCGTGCGCGTGCGTGCGCTTGCGTGCGTGCGTGCGTGTGCGTGCGTGTCGTGCGTGCGCGTGCGCGTGAGTGCGTGTGCGTGCGTGACGTGTGTGCGTGTGTGTGTGTGTGTGTGTGTGTGCGAGCGTGTGCGTGCGTGTGCGTGCGTGTGCGTGCGTGTGCGCGCGTGCGCGTGCGTGTGCGTGCGCGTGCGTGCGCATGCGTGCGTGTGCGTGCGTGCGTGTGCGCGCGTGTGCTCGTGTGTGCGCGCGTGCGCGCGCGTGTGCGCGCGTGTGCGCGCGTGTGCGCACGTGTGCGCGCGTGTGCGTCTGTGTGTGCGCGTGCGCAATCGTGTGAGCGCGTGCGCCCGCGTGTGCGCGCGTGTGCGCGCGTGCGTGCGTGCGTGTGTGGGCGCGAGCGCGCGTATGCGCGCTTGCGCGCGTGAGCCCGTGTGTGCGTGTGTAGTTGTGTAATTAAATGTGTGGGTGTGTGCGTGTGCGTGTGCGTGTGTGCGTGTGTGCGTGTGTGCGTGTGTGTGTGTGTGTGTGTGTTTGTGTGTGTGTGTCTCTGTGTGCCTGTGTGTGTCTGTGTGTGCCTGGGTGTGTGTCTGTGTGCTGTGTGTGTGCCTGTGTGTGTGTGTGTCTGTTTTTGTGTCTGTGTGCATATGTGTTTGTGTCTGTATGTGTGTGTCTGTGTGTGTGTGTGTCCGTGTGTGTGTTTGTGTGTGTGTGTGTTTCTATGTATTTGTGTGTGTCTGTGTGTGCGTCTCTGTGTGTGTCTGTGTGTGTGTGTCTGTGTGTGTCTGTGTGTGTATGAGTGTGGGTCTGTGTCTGTGTGTCTGTGTTTGTGCGTGTGTGCGTCTGTGTTGTGTCTGTGTGCGTGTCAGTGTGTGCGTGTGTCTGTGAGTGTGTCTGTGTGTGTGACTGTGTGTCCTGCTGTGTGTGTGTGTCTGTGTGTGGTTGTGTGTGCGCGTCGGTGCGTGTGTGTGTATGTGTCTGTGTGTGTCTGTGTGTGTGTGTCTGTGTGCGTGTCTGTGTATGTGTCTGTGTGTATGTGTCGGTGTGTGTATGTTTTTGTGCGTGTGTCTCTGTGTGTGTCTCCCTCTGTGTGTCTCTGTGCTTGTGTCTGATTGGGTGTCTCTCTGTGTAGGTATCTCTCTGTTTGTCTCTGTGTGTCTGTGTGTCTGCGAGTGTGTCGTTGTGTGTGTATGTGTGTCTGTGTGTGTGCCTGTGTGCCTGTGTGTGTGTCTGTGTGTATGTCTGCGTGTGTGTCTGTATGTGTGCCTGTGTGTGTCTGTGTGTGTGTTTGTGAGTGTGTCTGTCTGTGTGTGTCTGTCTGTATGTGTGCGTCTGTGTGTGTCTGTGTGTGTGCCTGTGTTTGTGCCTGTGTGTCTGTGTGTGTCTGTGTGTGTCTGTGTGTCTAAGTGTGTCTGTTAGTGTATCTGTGTCTCTGTCTCTGTCTCTGTCTCTGTGTCTGCGTGTGTCTGTGTGTGTCTCTGTGTGTGTGTCTCTGTGTGTGTGTCTGTGTGTGTCTGTGTGTGTGTCTGTGTGTCTGTGATTGTGTCGGTTTGCGTAGTTTTATGTGGGTGTGCCTGTGTGTGTGCTTGTGTGTGTCTTTGTGTGTGTGTGTTTCTCTGTGCGTTTTGTTTATGTGTGTGTGTGTGTTTGCGTGTGTGTGTGGGTTTGTCTGTGTGGGTGTGTGTGGGTGTGTGCGCGCTCGCGTTTGCGTGCGCGTGCGCGTGCGTGTGCGTGTGCGCGTGCGTGTGCGTGTTCGTGTGCGTGTGCGTGTGCATGTGTGTGCGCGTGTGCGTGTGCGTGTGTGTGTGTGTGTGTTGTGTGTGTGTGTGCGTTGTGTGTGGTTTGCGTGTTGTGTGTGTGTGTGTGTCTTGTCTGTTTGTGTGTGTGTGTCATGTGTGTGCGCGCGTGTGTGTGCGTGCGTGCGTGCGTGCGTGCGTGCGCACGTGCGTGCGAACGTGGCGTGCGTGCGTGTGTGCGTGTGTGTTCGTGTGTTCGTGCGTGTGTGTGTGTTCGTGCGTGTGTGTGTGTGTGTGTGTGTGTTCCACAGCTTTTTTTTTTGCACTCCCACGGCCATCGGCCGCCAGGCGGTGTCTTGGCGCCCCTCTCTGATTCATGGCTCCCGATGGGCAGCGTGTCGCCCAAGCTTTTGCCGAGAGGGAGCTCGGGGCGCGGGGGCCCCGCGGCGTTGCCCCCCGTGCCCCGAGAGGACTGGCTTCGGAGGAGGAGGAGGAGGCCGATGTCAGGGACTGGAGGGGAGGAGGAGGAGGAGGAGGAGGAGGAGGAGGAGGAGGAGGAGGAGGAGGTGGCCGACGTCAGGGTTGGAGGGGAGGAGGAGGAGGAGGACGAGGAGGAGGAGGAGGAGGAGGAGGAGGCCGACGCAGGGGCTGGAGCGCGGACGCGTTGCGCCGTGCCGCCGTGCGGTCCCGGCCCAACCTCTGTGAGGCTCGGCGCTGTGCAGAGGGCGTGGGCGCCTTGCGCCATGCGACAGGGTCTTCGGGGGTGGGCGGGCGTTTGAGAGCCCCTCTCCCGAGGCACAGCGAAGGTGATGTGCGGTCTTGAGGCCCGTCCCCGTGCGCACCCCAGTCAAAAAGCCGACGTCAGGGTTTGAGGGGGGTCAGGGCGACTGGGGTTCACAGGAGGAATGCTTGAGAGATGAAGAGGGGGGAGAAGGTGTGAGGAGGGTGGAAAAAAGGAAAGAGTCAGTGTCCTCGCGGGCATGTGCTGAGACACGCTTTTCCCCAGCACAGTCCGAATCGAACCACGCGGGGGATGACGAGCGCCCGTGCCCGAGGTCCTCCTCCTCCTCCCTCCTCTCCCTCCCCTCAGTGAGGCCGTGGAGGGCCCAGAGGGGAGGAGCGGGAGGGGGGAGAGGGCGAGGGAGGAGGCAAGAGGAGAGGAGAGAAGGAAGGAGAAGGAGGAGGAAAAGGCCGCGGCGGTGCCGTCGACGGCGGCGGCGACGGCGACGGCGGTGGTGGCGGCGGCGGCAGCGACCGCGGCGGCGGCCCTCGATCTCTCGATGAGGGCCGCCAGCCGAGGACAACGTGACGGCCTGCGTCACCGTGGGCTCCGCGGGCGCCGGGGCGGGGCTGCCCTGCGTGCTGCCGTTCTCGTACGAGGGCCAGACCTTCCAGGCCGGCGCGGCGCGTACAGCCAGGACGCTAAAATTACTAAGTCGGGCCGGGGCGTGCCGGGGCCACCCTTCGGCTCCTTTCTCGGTGTTCTTGAAGTTAGCACGATGACTGTATGCTGGGACGCGCCCACGATGAGGCCCAGCAGGGAGGGAGGACAGATGGAAGGACAGAGGGAATTCGAGGGTCTGGAGATGGTCAACCGGCTTACGCCACATCCGCCGACTCTCCTAAGTGTAGTTCGTTCCCTCTGATTTTCAGGGCGCCTCCAAGAGAGAGAGGGAGAGGGACAACAAACAAAAACATGTCAACATGGGCATGGCGAGCATGTCACCAGTCAAGTGTTTCCAACGGAGTAGGATGTTAGTTGCTTCTTGGTGCTTTCTCGGGTGCTCCCTGTCAGCTTGCTTGGGCTGTCTTGGCCGCCCGGCGGGTTGTGTTCTGCTTTCAGACTCTTGGGCAGTCTTGGGGTTTGGGGGGGGCTCTAGAGCCGCTGAGGGCGCGCTGGGGTGCCTTTAGAGGACCATCCGTTCAAGCGGAGTTTGGCTTCGAGCACAAGGATCAGGGGCAGGGGTACAAGCAAATGTTTACATAGATCCTCAGCCCTGGCAAGCGGGGGCTAGCGGTTTGGTTCGACATGCCTATCCTTTGTGGATGCCATCTCCATGTTCATTGCACCGTCACTGGGCCCGATTTGGTGCTGCTCCATCTCGTTTTCCTCGTCCCCCTCATCTTCACCCTCCTCTCTTTCTTCGCCGATTACCGCGCGGTTTTCTGGTGGTTGGGCTTCGCCGCTGGTGGTTGAGAGGCGTTCTTCTCCAGACGTCTCCAGCAGGAAGCGTGAGAGCTCAAAGGTCGGTCCACGCGGCGCGAAGCGGTGGGCGAGGCGGACTCGTGCACTGTTTGCCGTTTCGTTTCGACTCCGATCTGTGATATGGCCCTTGCGCTTCTTCGGCCCAGAAGCAATCGCGCATTTGGCCTTCGATGCCTTTTTGTGCCCGCATCTCGTGTAGGCGGATTGACAATCGGCCTGCCCATGGCGCGTTCTCTGAATTTGGAGCTGATCGTATTCAAGGGTGCGCCCGGGTGGGCGCAGGCATCCATGTTGGGGCATCCAATGGTTCCTTATCCAACGCTTCCTTGTCCAGTGGTTCCAGCTTCAAGACCCTGGATTCCTCATCCACTGGTTCCTTATCCAATGCCGTCACCGCAGCATCTGCAGCGCAGCGGGCGCAGGATGCGGCGGCGGGTTGCGCGGCAGATTTTGCAAGCGCAAACAGTGCGCCCCGTCGTGCGCGGGGCGAGAGAGAGAGAGAGAGAAAGAGAGAGAGAGAGAGAGAGAGCAAGACACGCCACCGCGCGCTCGCGGAGCAGACAGAGGACAGGACCGCGTCAGGTCGAGCGAAGAGGCAAACGAGTCGGCGATGGTTTGCGATCGGCACCGTTGGGGCCTTGGGAACACGACACTGTACTCGTCGGGCCTCGGGGCGCGGCGGAGGGCTCTGTCGAGGTCCTCGCCCGCCCCCCCAGGGGTGCCCCCAGGGTGCCGCTTGCAAACCACACCCTTTGCAAGCCACACCCTCCGGAGTCGCCAAATAAGAGGGACTCCTCAGTGATATGTGCGAGGGAAGCGTGGCGCGGTCGGCGCAGGAGAGAGGGGGGGGCATTGCGCGCGCGCTGGGATCCCAGAGGCCTTTCTGTTGCCGAGAGCAGGCGCGGAGGCAGTGCGCATGGCGGAGCGTCTGGGCGCGCATGGGAAACGCGCGCCCGTGGCGGTAGCAGGGACTCTGGAGGCTGACATGGAAGGGGTCGAAGGGAGTGCGGGTCGTGTAGAAGAGCCCCATGTACTTGTGCGGCATGCGTCCCGCGCACGAGCCAGGAGCTCTGGAGCTGGCGTTCTTGTCTTTGCACGAGTTCTGGCGATCTTGGCGCGTTGAACTTGCGGCTTTTCCCCGCTGCGATGGGGGACCCTCGGCGGCTGCATCGAGCGTTCGCAGGCAGCGCTAAGAACCAAACAGATGTGGCTCACGTTGTTTTCGCGCGCGAGGCGATCGGTGCAACGTCGTCTGCAGGTGCAAGTGGCACAGGCGACGCGCCGTCGGTTGTCGGCGCCGCCCGCGCAGAACGGCGCGCGAGCGCTGGAGGCGAGGTCGCGCGAGGCGCGGGAGAGGCTTGGGCCGAACAGGAAGCCAGCGCAGCTGACGATAGTGCTCGGGCCGGGGGCCTCCGGGGAATGGACACGGGCCGGGCCCGCGGCGTCGACGGCGAAGACCGCGGCCTGCCGGCGGGCGACGGCGGGGCCCAGACTCCGATGCAATTCCTGACGCTGGTCTGTTCTGCTCGTTATGCGAAAACTTTGCCCAGTACAACACTGAACATGGATGCCACGTCCTGCCAGCAACCGGGAGCTTTGGGCCTTGGGCCAGTATGACGCACTACGGGCGCATTCCCATCTTACTTGTGAATTGTGGGCCGCAGACTTCCGCTGCCTGCGAAGACGCGATGCGATGTGGCTTGGCCGCGGCGGGCCCGGGCGCCACTGCCTGCGCGGCGCGGGAAGGCGCCGGCGCCGGCGGGCGGGAGCTGTCGAGCGGGGGTGGCGCTGGGAGCGGGGCCAAGGCCGCCCATGGCCGCGGGCTGGAGGCCAGAAGGGGACGCGGCGCGCCACCGACGCCCCAGCACCTTTGGGCCGAGGTGGCTCCAACACCTCCAGGACATGGTCACCATCCAGTGCGCGCCCACCAATCAGCTCTCCAAGCCCATCTCCCACACGGTTCAATGCCTGCCGGTGCCGAGCCAACGCTCCTCCTTCTCCTGCCTCCTTTCTCGTCCTCTTCCTCGTCCTCCTAATTACAACCTTTTCCCCCCCACCCTCCAACAGGGGCGCCAAGCTCAAGACTCGCGCGTGGTTCCAGGGCTGAGGAAGGGAAGTTTGCGCGACCTGTGTCCCTGGTCATTCTTGCCACCTGTTGTCGCTATACACTCGAAGTGCCGAACCTCAGTGCTCGTTGCATCAAACCTTGGGCCCGCAAACTCTTGAGCCATTTGTTTCCAACCATCCTGTGGTGTTGGGTCTTCGTTTTGAAGAGACGGTCCCCGCGTTCCTCTCCTCTTCTCCTCCTCTTTCCCCTCCTCTTCCCTCCTCCTTCTTCCATGCGTTTCACCCACCCACCACAGCGCTTCGTGGCCCCATAGGGAGCTCCACCGAAGCCCCCAGTGGCACCGCCCGCATGCGTCCGCCACCACCCAGCACAGCCCTTGCTCCCTGCGTTTCGCCCACCCAGTGCAACGTTTCGTGGCCCCATAAGGGGGCTCCACCGAAGGTCCCAATGGCACCGCCCGCATGCGTCCGCCACCACCCAGCGCAGCCCTTGCTCCCTGCGTTTCACCCGCCCAGTACAGCGCTTCGTGGCCCCATAAAGGGGGCTCCACCGAAGGTCCCAGTGGCACCGCATGCGCCCGCCACTACCCAGCACAGCCCTTGCTCCCTGCGTTTCACCCACCCAGTACAGCGCTTCTTGGCCCCATAAAAGGGGGCTCCACCGAAGGTCCCAGTGGCACAGCCCGCATGCGTCCGCCACCACCCAGCACAGCCCTTGCTCCTTGCGTTTCACCCGCCCAGTACAGCGCTTCGTGGCCCCATAAAGGGGGGCTCCACCGAAGGTCCCAGTGGCACCGCCCGCATGAGTCCGCCACCACCCAGCGCAGCCCTTGCTCCCTGCGTTTCGCCCACCCAATACAGCGCTTCGTGGCCCCATAGAAAGCTCCACGGAAGGTCCCAGTGGTTTGCCCCTTTCGTTTCACCCACCCAGTACAGTTTCGTGGTCCCATAAGGGGGGCCCACCGAAGGTCCCAGTGGCACCGCCCGCATGCGTCCGCCACCACCCAGCACAGCCCTTGCTCCTTGCGTTTCATCCACCCAGTACAGCGCTTCGTGGCCCCATAAAGGGGGCTCCACCGAAGGTCCCAGTGGCATCGCCCGCATGCGTCCGCCACCACCCAACACGGCCCTTGCTCCCTGCGTTTCGCCCACCCAGTACAGCTCTTCGTGGCCCCATAAAGGGGGCTCCACCGAAGGTCCCAGTGGCATCGCCCGCATGCGTCCGCCACCACCCAACACGGCCCTTGCTCCCTGCGTTTCGCCCGCCTAGTACAGCGGTTCGTTGTCCCATAGGGAGCGCCACCGAAGAAGATATTCACAATTGCGGTACTCACAACTGCATATCGTTGGGCTTTTCGCCAGGCTAATTTGGCAACAGGCTGCCAGCCCAGAGTTGTCCGATGGCCGAAGCCGAAAAAGTCACTGGAGGCCGACATGGAAACGGAGAGGCACGCTGGGAGGGGCAACGCGGATTTACCAACATACTTGCGAAGGTCTCCGGGGGCCGGAGGGGTCCAGAGGCCTCCAAAGGCCCAGCAAGCCCAACAAGTATCCAACATCTGTTTGCTCCTCACCATCCTCGCCAAAAGCTTCGGTAGTTCTTGACCTTGGTCGAGGAATCCAGCAAGCCCAACAAGTATCCAACATCTGTTTGCTCCTCACCATCCTCGCCGAAGCTTCGGTAGTTCTTGACCTTCGTCGAGGAGTCCCCAAATCTTTGTTGCCTCCCCGTTGTTTCCCTTGTGTCCCCGTTGCCGCCCGACCTTCCAGGCCTGCACGTACGCGGGCCACGCCCAGAAGTGGTGCGCCACCCAGGTCTGAACTCGTCCTTTGGATCGCCGTCGTCGCCGCCGTCGTCGCTGCCGTCGTGGTCGTCGTTCTTCTCTGTCGTCGTGGGGGGTGGAGGGCGAAGATGAAGACGGAGGAAAGCGCTGGGCTGGCCGAGTGGCTTTGCAGTGTCCAGGGGGGTCCTTGGAGGTTTCAGTGGGACGATGGGGGTGGCGAAAAAGAGGAGAAGGAGGAGGAGGAGGAGGAGGACGAGAAGGAAGAGAAGCAGGAGCAGGAGCAGGAGCAGGAGCAGGAGGGCCATCACTGACGCTACAGGTCCCAGGGACTCAGCGGCGCGCCCAAGAAGAAAGAAGGGCCACAAAGGGCCTCGCTCCGCCGAAGGATGCTGTCCGCACGCAGCTCGAGGCTCGCACGCGGAGGCCGCCCACAGAAGCAGAACCCACCGCTGCTGCTGCTGCTGCTGCAACAAACGATCTCGTCCAGGGCCCCTTTCCAAGGGCGCCCTCGAGGGCGCGAAGTTATTCGCGCTTCGCGGTTCGCGCTTCGGTTCCGATTCCTCATCCTCCATTTCTCCCCTGGGAGGCGGCGCGAGAGCGCGAAGTTACTCGCGCTTCGCGCAGCGCGAGGCGCGAAGTTGGGAGCCCTTTGCTTTCCTCCCGTCGCCACGGCGGGCGCGCCTGCCTGCGGAAGTGAGGCTCGAGCGGGCCCGCAAGGCGGGCGCCCCCCTTTGTGTGCCCCGAGGTGCGGCGGTGCTGCCACGGTGCTCCCGAGGCCCCTCGTGGGCCGAGTGCGCCTTCTTGTGCTGCTCCTCGTCGGAGGGAGGTCGGGAGGGGAGGAACCACACACAGACACAAAGGATCGTCGATCTCCCGGTACATCTGGGAAGTTATTGCCGACGAACCTCCAGAGAATATCAGAACAAAGTGGGGATCCTGGGAGTTGCATTTATTTGTCTGTGTGTCTCTGGGGGCCTTGCTCCTCTTTCTCTCGGGCGTCGTCCTGGTGGCATGGCGCGTTCTCCCCCGCAGTTGATGAGGCTGGTGTACTCGAAGCGCCGGTGACGGCACCACCACCGGCTTTTCGCCTCCCGGGACATCGCCACCGGGCTCCTGTCCAAGGTGTACCTTTTCTTGCACTTCAACTTCGGCACCGCCTGATCCCAGGGTTTCGCCCTCTCCCGGCCTTGACGTGACGCCCCGCCTTTTTTTGCCATCCCTCTGATAATTCAAGCTGTGCGCGGCCCGCTGAGCTTCTACCGGAAGAGGTTCGCTCTCGACCCGCAGGTCAAAAAAAAGTCTCTGGGGGCCCTTCGGAAGGGGAGGCGGCGCCACCACCGCCAGGGGGAGCCACCTCCAGCAAGGGGCTCCGCGAGGCCTCCCCGAGCTGCGGACCTGGGGCGCAGCGGCTGGAGGGTGCCAGCCGTCCGTCGACCGTCCTGTTCGTTCGTTGTTCGTCAGTCGTCCGGTGCCTTGGCGCGCAAACGCCGACATTTTTTGTCGCCCCTGCGCCGCCCCGAAGGCACTTCTCAAGTGCCTTCGGCGCGCGCGACCGTGCACGGCGCTGTTCGGCGCCGCCTTTGCGCGGCGCCAGCGTTGAACGGGCAGTTTTTGCGGCGGCGACCGCGTGGCCAGGGTCGTCTTCGTCGTCGTGTCCGGTCGCTTCTTTGCTCTCTGCCGCTGGGCTCTTTGCCTCGCGGGTGGACAGCTGCAGCCCGTGGCTCGGGGGACATATGGCCCAGAGGGGTTGCAGTCTTCATGGTACCCACGGGACTACACCCGAACTGTGCTTGCCGCTTCGGCAAGCTGCAGGGGCAACCTTGAGAATTTCGTCGTCGATTTGACCGGCTCCGCACAGCTCAGCAGCGAAAGCCACATGTTGAACACCCAACGCTAGCGAGTCGTAGAGTTCTGGGGGCCGTTGGAGGCTAAGGGCAGCGGCGCTCAGGGGAGAGTCATGGGAGTGAAGCTTTTTAGGTTCATGAATATCTAAATATGTATATATGTATATATATATATACAGATTTCGATACATGTAACGATACGTATACTTCACATATAGCATATATACATAAACATGTATACCTATATACATACGTACATACAAACAAACATACAAAGTAATACATACAGACAAACACACATCCATCCATCCATCCTTACATACATAAATACATACATATATTCAGACATACACACATACATAATTACATACATACGTACAAACATACATACATACATACATACATACGTGCGTACGTATGTACATACATACATACATCCATACATGCATGCATGCATGCATACATCTATACATACAGTTATAGTTACATAGACATGCGCTCGTGCACCTGTCGCTTTAGTGTGGCGAGGGTGCAGGCGGCACTTCGGCGATGGCCACATCTTGAAAACCTACAGCCGTGCATATGGGTAGATGTTCGGGTGCGTTTCAGGCGAATGTGCTCGTCTTTGACGCGAGAGGTAGGTTTTGAACGCAACCTGCCCTTCATCTGTGCATCTGCTGGAAAGTCCAATCAATCTCTTGGGCAATATCGTTCGAGGAAGGCTCAGGCGACACGCCTGGCCCGCCGTGCCCCCCATGTCTGTGGGCGCGGCGATGCAGAGGCACCTGTGGGGAACAGAGACGGGGAAAGAGAAGAAGGCCTGAGACAGAGGAGCCCAGCGCTGTCCAGCGCGCAGAGGCACGCACATCGCGTGGAACAACACTAGTATGGCAGAAGGCTGTCCTTGCTGCTGGCGCGCCCGCGCAGCAGACATAATGGGAGGGGCGAGGATCATGCCAGGCCAGCGAGAACGTGCGCCACACAGGCCTGTCTCGGCCGGGAACAGACCAGCGAGATTTCCAAGCCAGGCGGAGCGAGGAGCGTGTGTGTGGAGTGGGCGGGGGGGGGGAACGGGTGACGACAAGGATGGTGATGGTCCCTTCAGGCTGCCTTTCAGATTGGGCGGCCGAATCAATCGACGCACAGGTGATAGTCTGTGTGCTTTGCTTTGTGTATAGGACTCGTCGCCGTTTCCTTGGGAGTCGTTGAATCGAAGTCCTTGGAAGGACTAGTGGAAACGGATTAGGGGTGTCAACATTCGAGGAGGTCTCAACATTCGAGGATGTGCAACAGATGTGGCGTGTAGCAAAAGACGTCATGCGCAGGAAGACCGAGCGTGGAAACCACCCGCTGACCTTCATTTGGCCCCTGCTGGGGCTAGGCAGTAGCTGGGAGTATGGTGCGGGTGAGGAGACAGCAAGGTAGAATACGGAAATCACCCGACGAAGACGAGAGGCGCGGACGAGAAGGTCGTGTAAGTCATTATTTTCCGCTTTTGTCCTCTACCACTGCGGCGTCGTCGTCCCCCTTGTACTCAGTGCCTGCCTCCTCGTCCTCGTCACCGAGAGGGATTTCGGAGGAGGAGGAGCATGACGACGAGAAGGTGGAGGACTTGAAGGAGGGATGTGAGGGAGAGCGGAAGGTAGAGGGGAGGGAAGGATGAGGAGAAGGAGCAGGAGAAGGCAGATGAGGACGACGACGAGGGGGGGAGGGAAGGCCGCCGGCAGTGGTGGGTGGTCACTGCATAAGGGAAACAGGACCCGAGCAGAGCAACACGCACCACGACGGCGACGACGACTGCGACGAGGCGGGCTCACAATCCGCACCGAAGCACGGATTAGGGAAATGGCTCACCGTGCACGTTCGGTTAAACAGCACATCGTGGAGCGGTGTTGCAGGCCACCCCAGAGCATCAGCTAGACAGGCCGGGTTTGCACCCTCAAACTTTGCTGGTCTTTGGGCGCATTTCGACATTGCCACTGTCGCCGCCACCCCCTCGGCAGGTGAGGAAGGAGGCCGGTGAGGAGGAGGAGGAGGAGGCGGAGGAGGAGGAGGAGGATAGCACCACGGGAAGGGAGAGAGGGGGAGACATCGAGCATGAGCATCAACATGAGCAGGAAGAGGAGGGAAGGCAGAGGAGGGAAGGGCAGGAAGGAATGGGTTTGGGGGGGACGAGGAGAAGGAGCACGAGGATCAGGAGCGGCGAGGGGGAATGAGGAGGGAGGCGACAGCAGGGGGGAGGGCGAAGAGCTGGGAGGGACGGGCCAGGCCGCGAGCGAGGAGCAACAGGGCGGCAGGAAGGAGGACCAGGACGCGGACGAGGAGTTCGAGGAGGAGGTGAAGATCGTCTTCGAGGAGTGCGAGGACGAGGAGTTCGAGGGGGGGCTCGAGGAGGGGAAGGAGTTCGAGGAGGAGGAGTTCGAGGAGGACGAGGAGTTCGAGGAGGACGAGGAGTCCGGGCAGGTCGACTCCGCCGGCAAGGTGGTGAAGGATCAGTGGGGCGACTGCTCCGCGGCCTGCCTTGCCGCCGAGGACACTGCCGTCGCCGCCGTCGTCGCTGTCGCTGTCGCTGGCCTCTTCGTCGCCGTCCGCCGTCGTCGCCGCCGCCGTCGCGGTCGTGTTTGTTGCGGTGGCGCCATCGTCGTGGGGACCTCGGCCGTGGCCAGCATCATCGCGGCGGCTGTCATCGTCGTTGTCGTCCGTCGCTGCCGCCGCCGTGTTCGTAGTGGTGGTGGGCATCCTTGTAGTTATCGTCGTCGTTGTCGTCGCCGCCGTTGGCATCCGTTTCGTCGTTTTCGTCGATGTCGTAGTTGTTGTCGCTTTTATCGGGCGAAGAGAACTAAGCACATGCACCGATCCTTGTAAGGCCCATCCTCGACCCAGGATCGGTGCATGTGCATTCCTGGCCAAGGTTGGAGGGCGTATGCACCGATCCTGGGCTCAGGATGGGCCTGGCCAGAATCGGTGCATGTGCATAGTCATTTTTCCCCTATGTATCGCCAGAAGAAGACAGCACCTACAGAACGAATGGCAACGCACAGGAGGCGAACAACAAATATGCAGTAGTTCTACGGCCCTCAAAATCCATCATTCCCAACCATCCTGTGGTGTTGGGTCCTCGTTTTGAAGAGACAGCGCCCCGCGTCCCAACTTCCTTCCTCCTCCTCCTCCCCCTCCTCCCCACCCCCCCTCCCAATGCAGCGTTTCGTTGCCCCATAGGGAGTTCCACCGAAGGCCCCAGTGGTTGCTCTCGCATGCGGTTCCCCCACCCAGGGCAGCGCTTCGTGGCCCAACAAGGAGCTCCACCGAAAGCCCCAGTGGCTGCTCTCGCATGCGGTTCCCCCACCCAGGGCAGCGCTTCGTGGCCCCATAAGGGGGCTCCACCGAAGGCCCCAGCGGCTGCTCTCGCATGCGGTTCCCCCACCCAGGGCAGCGTTTCGTGGCCCCATAGGGAGCTCCACCGAAGGTCCCAGTGGCTGCTCTCGCATGCGGTTCCCCAACCCAGGGCAGCGTTTCGTGGCCCTATAGGGAGCTCCACCGAAGGCCCCAGTGGCTGCTCTCGCATGCGGTTCCCCCGCCCAGAGCAGCGCTTCGTGGCCCCACAAGGAGCTCCACCGAAGGCCCCAGCGGCTGCTCTCGCATGCGGTTCCCCCACCCAGGGCAGCGATTCGTGGCCCCATAGGGAGTTCCACCGAAGGCCCCAGTGGCTGCTCTCGCAGTGGCTGCTCTCGAATGTTCCATGCGGTTCCCCCACCCAGGGCAGCGTTTCGTGGCCCCATAGGGAGCTCTACCGAAGGCCCCAGTGGCTGCTCTCGCATGCGGTTCACCAACCCAGGGCGACGTCCTGTGGCCCTACAGGGAGATCCCAATGCAGCGTTTCGTTGCCCCATAGGGAGCTCCACCGAAGGCCCCAGTGGTTGCTCTCGCATGCGGTTCCCCCACCCAGGGCAGCGCTTCGTGGCCCCACAAGGAGCTCCACTGAAAGCCCCAGTGGCTGCTCTCGTGTGCGGTTCCCCCACCCAGGGCAGCGCTTCGTGGCCCCATAGGGAGCTCCACCGAAGGCCCCAGTGGCTGCTCTCGTATGCGGTTCCCCCACCCAGGGCAGCGCTTCGTGGCCCCATAGGGAGCCCCACCGAAGGCCCCAGTGGCTGCTCTCGCATGCGGTCCCCCCGCCCAGGGCAGCGCTTCGTGGCCCCATAAGGGGCTCCACCGAAGGCCCCCGTGGCGCAGTTCGCCTGCGGTTCCCCGCGCGTCACCGGCTTCAGGCGTTTCTGCGACGCTCGCACCGCGTGGGAGGTGCAGGCCCAAGGTTGGGCGCCGCTTGTCGCGCCGCGCGTGAGATGGCGCTCGACTGGCGCGAAAATCAACTTCCAGCGCAGGCGCGTCGCGATCGCGCGTCACTGATGGCGACAAGGCGTTCACAGAGTCTCGGGCCCCCTGGCAAACCAAGTCCTTGGCAGGATCCGCGAGGCCCCTGCGCAGGTTCACCATGGTCCAGAAGAAATGGCAATCCGTTATCGTCGAGCCCCCCCAGGCCAGACCCCCGGGGCCTCCTCGTCTCGGAGACCCAGAAGTTAGGTGTGTTCTGGAGCGCCAGCCATGCGCCTCCGTCGGCTTGGACCCTAAATCGAGATTGCTTTCCGCGTGCCAGCCCGTCGGAGATGCGCGCTGCATCGCGGTCGGTCAGCCGTCGAGCGCCCCTCGTTTGACGGCCGCCGCCCAGGGCCTTTTGCTTGCCTCAGCGGTCAGGGGCTGCAGGTCTTTTTTGGGGGGGGGGGGCTTTTTTCCGCTCAGCCCCAGTGAATGTTGATGCCGCGTTCCGGGGACGGCTATAGGTGGTCTCAGGCTGACCTTGCTCCCGGGGCCCGCGTCAGAGTTTGGGGCGGCTCCGACGGCGCCGGCGCGGTGACTTCCTGGATCGAGCTCGTCGCCCCCGTCGGTCTGTCGGGCGCGCGCAGAATTCGGGGCCGGCCATCTTGAAAGAGAGCGCGCTTTCGGAACGGGCGTTTTCGAGTGACACGTCCACGGCTGGCATTATCTGGGATGGCATGAAGCATTCTCCATCCTGGTCTGGCTCCGCGACAGGTCATCTTCTGGAGGATTTCCCTGGCGCGCTTCGCCGGGCGCGGAGTTGGGCCCGGGTCAGCGACGAGCTTGCGCGGGGGGGAGGGCCAGGAGGAAAGATTTACATATGTATGTAAAGATTCAGAATGGCGAAGAAAAGGCACCGCATTCTTCCCCACTATCGGTGGAGACTCCCTCGGGGCAAATTTAGAAAGCTGTAGATTTGGGCGTCCGTCCTGCGGCTGGATGCGGCGCCGCGGCTATCTGGCATTGCTGATAATGAACTCTTGCCTCTTCCAGAGAGTCCTCCTGGCTAGGAGGGGCCCAGCTCGTCGAGGGCCCCCTTTCACGGCTGAGCTTGCCCTGCGCGGCGACATTGCCTGGAAACAGTCGGCCGCGCCAGTTCATCAGTGGTCCGCGTGTTTGTGGAGGTCGATGGCCGAGTCCCAGACCCCCCTGTTTTCGTTTTGGCAGCGCGCCCAACTTTTGCGCGACGCGGCGCGGGGCCCACGGAGTGGCAGAAATCGCGGGGTTCAATGCGCCATGTGCTCGTGAGTCTGCACGGGATTGGGTGGAAGGCGGTAGGTTTCCCGGTCTCGCCTGCCGTGATACGGCCTGCCCTTCTCAATGAGCTTGTGAAGGGGGGCGTCCAGCGGATGCGCGATCGCAGGATGGCCTGCGCGTTGCCTGACCTCTCTGCTGCCCGCGTCTGACCTGATCCTCTTTGGCGCATGCTCCGATGGAAGGAGCTCGTCGGCCTGCTGAAGCATCGGCTCCCTGCGTGTTTCGCTGGCGTCTGTTGGATTGCGGATCGGCTGAAGTCCTTGGGGCGCGTTTCGGATGGGGAAACCCGTTTGTATAGTCCACGGGCAGTTTCTGCGTTCAGGCCCGACCGTCGAAGTAGCGCGCCGCCAGCATCTCCCAGGCGCAAAGATTCATGCGGGTAGGAATTGTGCCCCAGAAAGCTGTTGCGTTGGTCTTGCTTGGTAGTAGCTCAGCCTGAGGCGCCTCGCCCCTGTCTCGACCTCGGCCCTCTGCTCCAAGGGCAGTCGGGCGAGCCATGATCTAGCGATCGAACCGTGGGCGCGCATTGATCTTGGTCGACGGTTCGGCCAGCCAACTAGCCTTCCTCCATGTCAATCAGTGTAGCTTTCTTTCGCCCATTCACGAGCAAGAGATGAAAAGACTCGCTTGGTCGGCGCAGTTTGGCCTGGGCCCCCTTAGACGGCCCAATCGGGTGAGAACCGCGGCATGGCTACCCACCCGTAGTTGCTTCGCCTCCGGCCGCTGCGAGGCCCGCAGTGATTGTTTTGGTTTTTCCGCGTAGCTAGTCCGGCCCAACTGGGCCCCAATCGAGTGTCCGCTGGCCTTCGGAGGCGCGCGCTCCAGGAGAAGGGCCAAGAGAGCATTGCTTCGCTGGCTGACGCTCCTGCGCACAAGCCGAGGGAGGCGATGGCCGCGTTTCCACCAGGGGAGTGGAACCTGGCTCTTGGGAGCCCGGACGCGGCTCGTCTTATGAAGCATGCGCTCTCGCTCCACCGTCCAGGCCTTTTGAAGCGCTCGAGAAATCAGGTGCTGATGTGGCCCTGCAGCGAAAGGTCGTGGCTATGTTTGGGGCCGTGGTACCCTTGTTTCCCACACGAGTTTCGTCGCTATCTTGCGGCTCCTGGGCTTACGTCGCAGCCGTGGGGCGGCGCGAGTGGGCCATCCTAGATCCCGGGGGCGGGGGAACCTCCCGCGCTGCTCGACGGCACGACGCTCGGCGAGAGCAGGCCCACGACGGGCTGCAGAGGCCTGCCCGCTGCCCCCCGCGGAGCGCGGGGTGCTCGGAGAGATCGAGGCCACCTCCTGTGCACGACACTCGCGCAGGAAGAGGCATGTGGCCCGCTCTTAGTGGGCCCTGGAAATGATCAGGGGTGGACAGACCTCCTACCCTGACACGTCGATTAGTGAATTGGCCGTTTTCGGTTCTCGAGAGGGCGCCGTGGCCGTTATTTTCCAGGCTTGCGCCCGCCAGGTGTGGGCCTCAGGTCGTTTTCACTAAACCACGTTTTACTAAAGGGAGGTCTCTCCATCCCCAAAATGAAAGCGCCGTTTTTTTTTAGGTTCCGTTTTGCTGTGTTTTGCCGGTTCCGACGCCGTTTGTTTACCGGTTCCGTCGCTGTTCTTTTACGGGTGCCCGCTCCAGTTCCAATCCTGGAGCCATGTTTGTTGTTGTTTCCGGTCGCCTTTTTTGCCGTTTCTATGTTCACGGGCTATTTTTCGGAAGCGGTGAAAAAACGACCCTGCCGTTTCGGGGGCCCATTAAGGGCACGCTGCTCTTATGTTACCGTTGTGACGCCTATGCCAGTAAACGGTGCGGTCGGCTTTGAGGTAACTGCGACGGCAAGCCTGGCCCGTGTGGCGAGGCGCCCGAATAGGAATTCGCCAAGGCTTTCACCCCCACGACAGGTCTAAGGGCACATTTGCTGCTGGTTTGGAACCACTTGTCGTGCCTCGGCCAAGCATGCGCTGCTCAAGGCAGCAGAGCCTGGCCCAGCCGCCTCGCCATCGGCTTATCCGGGCTTGATTTCCACACTTGGAATGCCCGCCCTAACGCCGCAGAGTGCCGACGTCCTCCTGGTGATGGACCGCCTCCGTCCTTCCTCATCCTCCCGTTCCCCTTTTCGGACATTCGGACATCTTCTCGGAACGCAGCAGAACCATGTAAACATCTTAGTTTCCAATCCGACGACGACGGCGCCAGTGACGACGAAAACAACAACAGCGACTGTTCGCCCTTATATGCTCGAGTGTCCATTAACGCGTATTTCCCACACCCTCGATACCCGCCCTCTTCGTCTTCGATCGAACCCCTTTTGGGGGGTATACTTTTCTTCCCTGCAGGCCGGGCCCCGGCAAGCGGCGGGGCGGCCGCGGACCGTCGGCCTGGCCAGCGGCAGCGCTGATCGGCGGGGCGGCCGCGGACCGTCGACCCGACCCCAAGAGGAACGGACAGGGGACCGACCACGATGACGACGACGACGACGACGACGACGACGACGACGTCGAAGACGACGGCGACGACGGCGACGACGGACGACGAGCGAAAGCGAGAGCGAGAGAAAACGTCAGCAGGGCCACGAAGGGCACGAAGTAGGCCACGAAGGGCGACAGCGGGGACACTGCGTATGGGGCCACGAAAAGCGCGAACGAGCGGGGGCCACGAAGTGCAGATAATGCGGGGCCACAGAAGGCAACTATGGGGCCACTGAAGGTAGCAACTGGGCCACGTAGGACAGTGAGGGAGACAAATGACGAGAGCGGGGCCACGAAGGGCATGCCCATGAGGCCACAACGGGCGCGACTCCTGGGTGCCTGGGTGTCGGGAGCGCGGCGCCTGGGCAAATTGTAAAACCAAAAAAAAAACGTAAGGCCATTCTTCAGTAAGTTGCAAGCAAGTCTCCAGCGAGAGCGCGACTCCAGAGCGCCGGGAGAGCGATTCCTGAATAAATTGTCAGGAAGTCTCAAGCGCGAGCGCGACTCCTGAGTAAAATGCGAGGACGTCTCGGGCGGGAGCGGGGGTCCTGGCTAAATTAAAAGAAAGT